AAACCCTAAACCCTAAACCCTAAAACCCTAAACCCTAAACCCTAAAACCCTAAACCCTAAAAGGATTGGTGGTAGGAGCATCCTATTTTTCAATTTCAATTGGGGCTATAAAAATCAAGTTGACGATACATGGACGAGATCCGCTAGAGATGCAAGAGAAAGGAGAAAAGTAATACTTCAACAAAAAAGAACATAGAAAAGGTATGTACTTTAAATATCGTTTTATCTTAATATATTTAATTTGGTTTTATTCTTTTAAGGTAATTTGATACATTACATTTTGAAATTTTTTAAAATAAAAAATCAAACGGAATATTAAACTTACCAGAATTTTTGTATTTAAAATTTATATGGATGCTTTGTAATGAGGATTCAAAAAATTTCTTATCTTCATATCTAAATCAATAGTATAGATAAATTAATTTATGTTAAATAAATAAAGTTTTATACAAAATTTAAAATTAGATGTCAATTTTAGAAGGATTTAACAAATTCTCCATGTGAAAATGAACACTTAAGAAAGGATTACATAAAAATATGTGTACTTTTTTAATTATAGTCATGTTATTTTATCAATTATAATTTGTATCTGTAAAAAAATTAAATGTCATGGATGACACACAATGCTTCTATACCCCTACAATACCCTTTGTTGTTTCCTTTCGGGGAAGATGGGTATTTTGGATATTATTCCTATAAGGAAATATTTTTTGTGAATAAAGATGTAAAACATCAACGAATATCAGTGAGAGAATTTGTTGAATTTCGATTACATGAAAAGGAGAATGATGAAGGGGTTTTGTTGAATGCACATAGATTGTATTTACATATTTTAGTTGATGCATACACGATGGTTGAAGCACAAAGAATTAGTGGGTAAAATTTAACCAGGATCAATTTAGAGGAGATATCATGAGTGGCTTAGAGGAATCTGTTATCAGAGGTGATACTGAATCGGTAGCCTCTGGACAACAAATTATCCTGCCATCTTCTTTCACTCGCGGAATGAGATATATGTTTAACAACTGTTAAGATGAAATGACGATTTGTAGAAGATATGGTTATCTAGGAATATGAGACTGCATTCATCCACGTCTTCTTGCACAGAGAGGGACACACAAACTTTTTCTAATTGGATAATCAAAATGGGTGATGGAAAGCTAGGTCAGGTGATGAATAGAGTTGGTGATGTTGAGATTCCGCCTGGATTCTTAATTCTTGATACAAGTTTTCCTATGAAGAGTATAGTCGACTTCACTTATCCGAATATATTAGAGAATATGAAAAATTATTCTTTTTTAAGCATAGAGCACTATTGGCACCAACTCTCGAAGTAGTTGAAATGATAAATGAATTTGTCATGTCCCTCATTCATGGTAATGAAAAGGAGTACTTGAGTTCTGATTCTTCATGCTAAGCAGGTGCAAATGTAGGTGTTGATGGCGATTGGATAACTGTTGAGTTTTTTGAACGAAATCAAATGTTCAGAAATCCCAAACCATAAAATAGTCTTGAAAAAAGGGTACTGATTATGCTATTGAGAAACATTGACCAAACATCTGGATTGTGTAATGGGACAAGATTAATCGTTCAAGAGCTGCAAAATAATTTTATCGGTGCAATTCTAGTCTCGGGAAATTGAGTCGGGGAAAAAGTTTACAGCCCTAGAATGAATTTGGTACCATCTGATCCAGGCCTACCATTGAAGTTCCAATGAATACAATTCCCGATCGCCTTATGTTTTGCTATGACTATAAACAAAAGTTAAGGTCAAACATTTTCATTTGTGGGATTATTTTTAACCAAGTCAGTGTTCACATATGGTCAACTATATGTTGATGTTTCACGAGTGAAGACAAGATTAACAAAATTTATTCTAGATGACAATGGAAACCCTTGATTGCAACCATACCAAAAATGTTGTATACTCTAAAGTCTTTCAGAAAATTTGGTATTAAAATAAACATTGTTAACTCCACATTCTGTTCCTAAAATATTATTTATTTTACTTTCGCTTTTTTCATCTGTAGTATTAAAAATCATTTGTACAATAAATTTTCTTTATACGAAAAAAATAAATTTAATTGAAATAATTTAGAATCGACAAAAAATATTTTCGACCCCGTGCATGGCACGGGTCAAAATACTAGTCTATATTTGTAGAAAACTTTCAAATTTTTAACAAGATAGTTACTTCAAAAAATAGAAATATGTTTGTGTAAGGTTCTTGTTTTAAGAATTTTCAAAATAATTCTTTATAATAAAGAAATGAACATTATTTTTTGTATTGTTTTTTATTTCAATAAACTTAAAATTCTAAAACATTAATAAAGGTTATAAAAATTAAAATTTGAAAGTGTGAAAGAGTACTATATGAAAAATGATATTAAAAACTAGGTGGAGAAGAAAAAAAGAAACTTAAATACTTTTATTGTGTAAAAAATATCTATATTAATTTAATAAAAATATATTGATTGAAGGAGATTTTTTTGTTTGAAGGAGATTTTTACGCAATCCAGGTAATATATTTGGTGTGGGAAAAGCATACTCCCTCCGTCCCAAATACGTAGTAAGCCTTTTTGTTTTGACTTTTTTTCAAACTTTGACAATCTTTGATTACAAATTAACATAATTTAAAAAAATAAATGTTATAAAATTTATATATCAAAAGTATATTCTTAGATGGATCCAATTTTCTTAAAGTGAAATTAATTGTGAAAGTTTGGCATGGCTTTTTGTAAATGCTCAAGAATTTGGGGCCGAAGGAGTATTTGTTTAACTGAGTATTGAATTCTGAATATAATCATGTAAATTTCTATGGGCAATCAACATTTTATTTTAATATAAATTGCTTTCCTAAATTAGTTTCTTTCCTAAATTGATGTTTAATCAACATTTTATTCAGCGTTGCCGTCGTGTCTGAATTAGTTTATTTCCTAAATTGATGTTTAATTCTTCTTCTTCCCCAATTCAAGAAGGCAACTCATCCTCCCAATTTACATTAGGAGATGTTGCACTGCAATGCCTTAATATCAGTGGCGGATCCAGAATATTAGATAGTAGGGGTCACTTTTCGGGTGTTCGGGGGCAACGTCTCCAAAACTTTTTTTATACATGCAATGTGAAACTTTAAAAAAATAATAAATTTACCCTCAAACAGTTATTTAAATAACAAAAAAATAAAAAAATCATTTTTTTTAATTTAATGCCAATATTATAAATTAGTTTAATTACTACTCCGTATATTTTTAGTGTACTACTTTAGAATTCATATTTGGACTTTTAAATATTTCACTTTAAAATTATATTCTTTTAATGTTTAAATATTCAACTTCTCTCATTCTTTTCTTACTTAACACTATTAATTGAGGTCTGTAATGCTTTCAATTGAGATCTCTAATATTTTTAGCTGAGGTCATAAATTACATTACTCTAAGAAACATTAAAAAAATTAAGTATCACAATATATATGATTAAAAAAAACTTAAAAATTAGTAGGGGGTCATTGCCCCCAACTACTATTATATCGATCCGCCCTTGTGCCTTATGATGGATTCGTGTTGATTTTTTAGTGCCATGTGATCACATATAGAGTAAGTATTCGAATTGAGTTTTACTGAATTATTCTTTATCATTTATCCTAAAATAAAGAGTTTTAGACATTATTCATTTTCAAAAGTTAAAATTTAGTAATTTAAATTTACTAAATTCATCCCAAATTATGAAAATAATACATTCCAATGCATTGCACGAATGAAGACATTACGTTGTGCAATAACCATCCAAAAAAATCATCAGAAGTTCACGGATAGAAAAATGAGCCACTGTTGTAACTATGATCTTATTGCGCTATCATCATCGGATATAGATATCACATCATTTCTAACCTCAAGCCTTAGTAATAGTATTCTTTGGTGACAAACACTTAAATCTTACCTAAAATACTATATTTAGGTCTTCAAAACAAATATCCATGTTTCATTTTTACCCCAAAACATTCTGTCAAATTAGTTTCATTTTAAATAAATTGAGCATATACAAAAAAATATAATGACAGCAAAGAAATATTCAATAATACTATTCAAAGGTTCTTATTTAAAAAGTTTTGGATACAAAGTTATCATGAAAAATCTTTGAGGGCCGGGATTCCATTAGGATACGAAAATTTAAATTAACCATTCAAAGGGCTTCATTGGGGGAGGGGTGGCCGGGGTGGGGGTAGGGGAGAGATTGAGGGTGGGTGGGGGAAATGAACTCGAGGAATTAGAGTACTCGAAGATTGAGTAGGAAAATAAACTTTAATCTAAAACAACTGATAGTTATTTTCTCCTCTAAGAGAAATATTTTCTTAAAAAATTATTTCCTACCACTTATGCAACGTAACATAACAAATTATTGGAATTTTTTTGCAAAAATATTTCTCTCAACCAAACATATCCTAAGAACTATAATCCAAAAGAACGAAATCTTAAAAAATTTAGAATTGACAAAAAACTGCTAAACCCCGTGCATTACACGGGTTAAATACTAGTATTATTACATTGATGACCCACGAGCAGTGGGGTGTGCTCTGACTCTTCAGTCTAATTTATTTCATGGCATCATCCCAACTTTAGCAGCAAATTTTCAATTGACCGTCTTCAGTTCCCACCACAAAGAGCCGAGAGAAACGCAGTATGCTTATGCTCGACAACACACACATGTTTCTTGATTCCCCATCTCCAGTGTACAGATACTGAGGAACCACAACATTCCGCCCATCATGTGAGCTGCCTAGAGAAGAGAGACCAATCTTGTTTTTGGATATTGAAATCACATCTTCTCCCCATACTGAGAAACTGGATACACCGTCACCGTGACCTCTGAAAACCATGGGCGACGAGGTCCAATTCCTGAAAGCGAAAGAAATTCCTTGTAATCAATGTCCCCTTCCGTCCCCCATAAACGAGTCATTTTTCACAATGCTGCGAAAAGCATTCATTACCCTACAGAGTCAATGTCTTACCTTCTCAAGTCCCAAATTTTTAAGGTCCGATCAAGGGAGCTTGAAACAAGTAAATGTGCCTTTGGTGCAGCTAACTGCAGGGATTCAACAAGCCACATTGCATGCAACCATGTAAGTGAGATATCAAATGGAGCCCCTTATGAAATCTTCTTTTACATGAATATCCAGAGAATACCTTTGTCACAAATCCATCATGGGCCTGCCACGAAGCAATGATATTGCCACTCCTCAGATCAAACAACCTACAATGACCCGAGCTTTGTCCCACTGCAATGCAAGATGGGAAGTCACTTGTTTCATCAACTTGACTTTCCGTAGAACCACATGCGCATATGGATGATGTCAGGGAAGAAAAGTTGGACTCGGTACTCTCACTTCTCCAGAGATGAAGTTTTTTGCCTTGGCTGACATCAATGAATCTGCATGTACAGCTAAAACGGTAAACCAAACTGTACAAGACAAACATCCATTTACATAAGCATCAATAGATCAGTAGGGAGCACTAACCGAAGAGAACCGTTTCCGGTACCCACTGCAAGCATATTAAGATATTCCAAGTAATGCATACTGGAGTACAAACCACTATCAAACGCAGTATTCAAAATTCCGCTTGATAATGGGTTGAAATGGAGAGTGTTTGCCTGATCTTGATTAAACTTTGAAGCACTTGATTGAGACCTTCTAACATCCCCTGAATTTGAAAATTCAGAAAAAACAGAAACCAATTTCCCTGTTTGTCCATTCCAAACATGTACAGTCCCGTCACAAGAAGCTACTCTACCGGAAGACGACAAAGTGCATATATCATTCACGACCTGGAAAAAGAAACAGAATAAATAAAATCAAATAATACCAAAAATAAATTGTTGAATGACAACAATTCCTAGGAATACTTTCTTTTTACTCTATCTTTCCGGGAGAATGAATCGAATGTTCTTATAGTATATAGTGTGTATTTTTTGCAACGATAAAAAAGTAATCATCCCGAATCCTAATAGCATATGCCAGATTCAAATAAAAACAACTAGTAGCATAGCATTCAAAGCAGTGAGATAAATAAAGGCACCTCTTCATGTCCATAGTAGCCAGAAACAGGATCAACCCTCGAAAGCTCCCACTTCTGAACAGTTCCTTTGAAACCTGCAGCAACTCCTGCTGTGAAAATACTACTTTCGTCTTGGCATACTGCTATAGATCTTATAACTCCATGATGTGCTCGAACAGAATGCAGAATAGATGCTCTGATTTTCCATGGAATTTCATCTTTTGGGCTTCCATAACGGCCACTAGGATCGGGCCTCACAGAGCTACCAGGGAGCCAATGCCAAGGTTCAAGGGTACCAAAATTGAAGCACCTCGTTTGCCTCTCTCCATATGCTTGAGGATGATGAGACAAAATTCTATTTGAGACTACGTTCTTCACACCTCTATGTCCTGATTGAGGTGTTGACCACCCAGCCCCATTGATCAACATTTTAGCAGGGGCATAGTCAGATACAAGGCTCTCACCAATTGTTGGTCGTCTAGCATATGTATTTTCTGCACGACTTTGAGAAGACTTCGAGATGGATTCCCACTGAAGTATGGGATTCAAAAAAAGGCATACACGGACCAAAAAAATACATCATTACAGGAGAAATAATTATGCCTAATATAAGCAACAGTGTTCACTTCTTAGGATGATTTTTCTGGATATGAATCTATATCCAATAGCTCCCCACACATCCGCCACTCATAAATTTGCTAATTCCAATCCTCCAGAAGGACCTATGACAAGAACTGAGGCAAAGAAAAGGAACATTGCAAAAATTTGTGGAAGAACATGCAGATTATTCAAGAAGAAAGATTGGGAAGGAGAAGCAACAAAAAACATTGGATGGAACCTCTTCTCAGAACCGTTGGAACAGTTGAAAGTGGTGTTCCACCAAGTCAGCAAGCGGCTGAGCTCCAAGTTCCACCCAAAATTATTTTAGGTTCCGTTGTTCATCAGAACCCAAAAATATGAAAAAACAGTTGCCCAGATAACTAAGGATATTCAGTTGATAAGTATGGTGGATAATTGAAAGGAAAGGCCTTTACTATATTCCATAGCATGTGTCATGAAAATTCAAGGACTACTTCCAGGTTTAAGTGATTTGTTATTGCATGATCATTAGAAGATATTGAAAAAACAAGTGCGTGGCAGTTATAAAAAATGCTTGATTATCATTAGCTAATTAGATTTCTCTAGGATCTTGTGTTTTTCTTTAATTATTTGTGTACTCAACTATTATAGATTATGAATGCAATGTAGAATTATTATTATAATAATATACAACGGTGCATGAGTAACAAACAAACATGGGGTATAAACTATAGAGAACCCCGACAAGAAATTTCTTCTTTATTTCTTGTTAGTCAATCAAGCTAAATATCGAAAACTGCACTTTCCTTGTCTATTAAATGAACTTAATAAACACTTCCATCATGTCGAATTCATAGTTACTGGTGGTCTCGTAATGGAGCAGAGGTTTTCACATAAATTGTACAGCTCATCAAAAAAATGATTTTGTTGCATATTTGTTATTAGTAATAATATTAGTATTTTAGTTAAGTCCTGAGAATATGGCAGGATCTGATTTGGCCATTAATATGGGTGATTTAGGCATTAATATGGGAGATATAGTTTCCTTATATTAGCACCCTTCTTATGTATATATATAGTCATTTTGTAATATGTAATTATGTATCATGAGGAAAACCTCTGATTATCAGTCACATGGTATCGGAGCCAGTGTGCTCTAGGGTTAGGGTTCATTATTTGTAAAAAAGGGGGGGGGGGCTTCTGCCATTTTGACGCTGTCTCTAAGGGTGCTCGCCTGACGTCACCGCCACCGTGGGTGGAGTCGCACGTTGCAGGAGAACAATTCTGGAGAATCTCTCCTTCGTTGGAGACCTCACGCCCCGCCACTGCTGGTCAGATCCATTGTCAAAAATCACTGTCCCTGAGTCATCTAAGCACCTGTGCAGACTCAGTTTGGACATTCAGTGGGTGATTTTTGCTCTGTCTTCCTCTGCCGATCAGGTTTTGTTCAAATTTTAGTCCATTGAAATGGGTGATAAGTCTAGTGTCATCACTGAAGTTTTTCCAGTCATGTCAAAAATCACAGAGAGGAAACTTAATTCCTCTAATTATCTGGAATGGGTCACGACTATTAAACTATATCTCCGAAGTACTGACAAGGACGATCATATGACTGATGATCCTCCTAAGGATGCAACTACTAAGAAAGTGTGGTTGAGGGATGATGCTCGACTATTCCTCCAAATCCGGAACTCAATTGATGGGGATGTGCTTGGGTTAGTTGGCCATTGTGAAACAGTTAAAGACTTGATGGAATATNGTTTTTCCAGTCATGTCAAAAATCACAGAGAGGAAACTTAATTCCTCTAATTATCTGGAATGGGTCACGACTATTAAACTATATCTCCGAAGTACTGACAAGGACGATCATATGACTGATGATCCTCCTAAGGATGCAACTACTAAGAAAGTGTGGTTGAGGGATGATGCTCGACTATTCCTCCAAATCCGGAACTCAATTGATGGGGATGTGCTTGGGTTAGTTGGCCATTGTGAAACAGTTAAAGACTTGATGGAATATTTGGAATTTCTCTTCCTAAAACTGTCAGAGAAGCACTCTCTCATCCTGGATGGCGTACTGCCATGATAGAAGAGATGAAAGCCTTGGAGCAAAATCATACTTGGAGTCTAGTTTCATTGCCGATCGGAAAGAAATCTATTGGTTGCAAGTGGGTCTTCTCTATTAAGGTTAATCCAGATGGGTCTGTGGCTCGCCTCAAAGCTCGATTAGTGGTCAAAGGATATGCTCAAACCTATGGTGTGGATTATGATGAGACTTTCTCTCCAGCTGCCAAGCTCACTTCTGTTCGCTTTGTCATCTCTATGGCTGCGTGTCATGATTGGCCGTTGCATCAATTAGATATCAAAAATGCGTTTCTTCATGGTGCTCTTGAGGAAGAGGTTTATATGGAGCATCCTCCAGGGTTTGTTGCTCAGGGGGGAGAATGGAAAGGTATGCCAGCTGCATAAATCTTTATATGGACTAAAACAAAGTCCTCGTGCATGGTATGGCAAATTCGGCCAAGTAATCGAGCGGTTCGGAATGGTGAAAGGCCAATCTGATCATTCTATCTTTTATAAGTGATCTAGGGGTGGAATCATCTTATTGGTTGTTTATGTAGATGACATCATTATTATAGGAAATGATTTTGCAGGAATTTCATCACTCAAGACATTTGTCCATAGTCAGTTTCAGACAAAGGATCTTGGACCGCTGAAGTATTTTCTAGGGGTTGAAGTTTTGCGAAGCAAGAAAGGTATATTGCTTACACAGAGGAAGTATGTGCTTGATTTGTTGTCTGAGACAGGAAAGCTCGCATCCAAACCATGTAATACACCTATGGTTCCTAACATGCAATTAACGAAAGACGGTGAATCATTCAGTGATCCAGAGAGGTACAGGAGATTAGTGGGTAAACTGAACTACTTGGTTGTGACCCGCCCAGACATTGCTTATCCTGTTAGCGTGGTAAGTCAGTTTATGGCATCCCCAACAATTGATCATTGGGCTGCAGTGGAACATATTCTGTGTTACTTGAAAGGAACTCCCGGTCGTGGTATTGTCTATTCAAATCACGGTCNTGGTTGTTTATGTAGATGACATCATTATTACAGGAAATGATTTTGCAGGAATTTCATCACTCAAGACATTTGTCCATAGTCAGTTTCAGACAAAGGATCTTGGACCGCTGAAGTATTTTCTAGGGGTTGAAGTTTTGCGAAGCAAGAAAGGTATATTGCTTACACAGAGGAAGTATGTGCTTGATTTGTTGTCTGAGACAGGAAAGCTCGCATCCAAACCATGTAATACACCTATGGTTCCTAACATGCAATTAACGAAAGACGGTGAATCATTCAGTGATCCAGAGAGGTACATGAGATTAGTGGGTAAACTGAACTACTTGGTTGTGACCCGCCCAGACATTGCTTATCCTGTTAGCGTGGTAAGTCAGTTTATGGCATCCCCAACAATTGATCATTGGGCTGCAGTGGAACATATTCTGTGTTACTTGAAAGGAACTCCAGGTCGTGGTATTGTCTATTCAAATCACGGTCACATGAACATTGAAAGTTATGCAGATGCAGATTATGCAGGGTCGAAGGATGATCGTAGGTCCACCTCCGGTTATTGTGTCTTTGTAGGTGGGAATCTGATTTCGTGGAAGAGCAAGAAGCAGAACGTTGTCTCTCGTTCTAGTGCTGAGTGTGAATATAGAGCCATGGCACAAGCTGCGTGTGAAATAATATGGATATATCACCTCCTCAATGAAACAGGTTTCAAAGCTCCCATCCCTGCGAAACTATGGTGTGATAACCAAGCTGCTCTTCATATTGCATCCAAACCAGTTTTTCACGAAAGGACGAAACATATCGAAGTAGATTGTCACTTTGTTCGGGAGAAAATACAGAAGGGATTGATTTCTACTGGATTTGTGAAGACAGGAGATCAATTAGCAGATCTCCTTACTAAAGCGCTAAATGACACCAGGCTTATGTATTTATGTAACAAGTTGGGCATGATAAATATATATGCTCCAACTTGAGGGGGAGTGTTATTAGTAATAATATTAGTATTTTAGTTAAGTCCTGAGAATATGGCAGGATCTGATTTGGCCATTAATATGGATGATTTAGGCATTAATATGGGAGATATAGTTTCCTTATATTAGCACCCTTATTATGTATATATAGTCATTTTGTAATATGTAATTATGTATCATGAGGAAAACCTCTGATTATCAGTCACAATATTGAAATTGTGTTACTGAATTTGTTGTGGTTGTTGATTGAAATCTTACCCCTTCTGGTTGCTACAATTCTAACAGATAGTGCTGATTACCATAATAGGTGTTGTGGGGGCTTCATTCCTTATTTTTTTATAAGAAAAATAGAACTTGCCTTTTCCCAACTTAAGAATCCAAAGCACATGTGATGTGTGAATGATTACCATAATAGGTGTTGTGGGGGCTTCATTCCTTATTTTTTATAAGAAAAATAGAACTTGCCTTTTCCCAACTTAAGAATCCAAAGCACATGTGATATGTGAATGAGAGTGTACCTTCCAGTTATAATTCCGTAAAAGAAACTGCTCCATTAACAACCATGTAGCACAACATCGGCGGAGTTTCTCAATGCCCACAATAGATGCAAAAGATGGATATAAAACCGACCTACAATGAAATTGTTTATTTCCAGCACATGTGAAACAATAAAACACTGGCAACAAAAGGACATATCACAACTGTAATTTTATAGATATAAACATATAATCTCTACGGATTCCCATCAGAAAAGAAACTCACACGATGTATCGGTACTTTCCCTTATCAGTTTCTTCACCTGTCTGTATATTGGGACCTTTTAGTTTTCCTCCGTCACTTTCAAAATTATTTATTTTCTCTTCGGAGAAAGCAATGTCATCAAATAACACTTTGAGTGTTGGAAGGACATGCAATGCAGTTAAATCCGGTCCAATTTGCTGACAAACTGCAATGAGACTTCTTGATGTGACCTTTCAGACAATAGAACTCCGGTATTAAGTTTAACATTTCTGAATTCCATCACTTTAATGAGACTCGTTTCAAAGAAAATATGTACAATTTTGAAATACCTCAAGCACCTGAATTGATAGATTGCCCTGCAAGAGAACCTGGAGATGTAGGAACCTCCCGTCCTGCATAAGTTCTGAACATGATTAGCAGCTAAGCCACCTTCTATTTTACTTATTCATTTACTTTTGTTGATTTCATACTTCATTGAGCTCTTTAACAATCAGATCCTTCGGCAAATATGAAATCAGACCATCTAAAGTGGTGAGACAATCCATTAGAGCTAAAGCACTCCAACTCTGGATGGGTTCAGCCTTATTTACATGTGAATTATCAATGCAACGATGGATGACATTTCTTAGCAATGGAAGAAGCTGTTTGACAATGAAATTTTCTCCAATAAGACAACCTGAAATATGAGAAGTGCATGTTAACTCTTAAGTTGAAGAAATATATTTCACGAAATGACAATATACATAAAAGTGATGGCATGAATACCAATTCTAACCAAAACGCCAATCCCGTCCTCACAAATCCCCTTCCCAAAACAGTTAATGAGAGGCATAATGGTCTGCAAGAACCATCAAGATAGTCATACAACTTTGAGAATGATCAACTTATAACATAATCTGTAATATAATGCATAATATTTCTTCCTTTTAAATAATAAGACTACTAGTGCTGCTGCTGTTGCTACTACTAAAACAAACTCAGTAGAAATCCACAAGTGGGGTCTGACAAGGTTGGTGCCCTTGTGGGGCAGAGAGGTTACCAAAAGACTTTCAACTCAAAAAGAAGTACGGAGTATATTCAAGAAAATATGCTAACTAGAGAGCGTGAATCGTCAATCAAAACTATGGCATCAGCAAATAGTATACACCATGGTACTTCCTCCAAAATATTTTGTGTCAACTAACCCATCGCAAAAGCAAATAAAAATGAGCCAAGGGTTGATCCTTGGTACAACCCCGTGAAGGCGGGAAATCACTCAAATCACCTCCCACTGCCCTCAAGCTAAATCATATGAAAATATTAAACAAGCTAGACACAAAACTGAACATTTGATACTTGACACTTGAAGTCGGACACTAATGAACTAAAGCTTTAAATAGGGAATTTGAAACTTGAACTTGAAAACGGGATTTTGAAACGTAAACTTCACTTGAACACCTAAACATGTGAACTTGTGGTGCCTACAGGAACATCCTTAGTCCTTACCTTTTACTTTGACTTGATTTCACTTAGCCACCGATGAGCATACAAGCATTCTCAACTTGCATTTTATCTTTTAAAAAGAAAACATGAAACCTACAACATGATTTTTTTTCATTTACTCATTTTATTTCCTTTTATAAGTTCTTTTTCATTCTTTTATTTTTCATAACTGCGCGACTAAACCAAATTTTTATTACAAATACAACAAAAACAACAACCCAATATAACCCCATGGGAGTAGGGTCTGGGGAGGGTGTGTGTGTGCAGACCTTACCCCTACTCGAAAGTAGAGATGTTGTTTCCAAGTTTATTACAAATGGAAAATTAAATATTTATACCCGGTGATGAAGGCTTATTTCAATAATTTTCCAAATATTGATTAATCTATGATTGCCTAAAGCTCGAAAGTGAAGCTAGATATTCTCATCAGAAACTGTGGCCAGAGTTGTCATGGGCACTTGATCCTAAACACAACAGGGCCAAACCAACCTAGTAATGTCCCTACTTTAATGAGTTTACATCCCACAAGTGGGGCCTAGGGGGTAGGTGTACATAGACCATACCCCTACCTAGAAGGCATAGAGAAATTGTTTCCCAAAGACTCCCGGCTCAAACACAAAGACAAAGTTAAGTATAGTTCAACATAAAAAGGAAAACCAGAAGGATAGAATGACAAAAACCAAACGAACACATTAACTACATCTAACTAAACCAAAAGCCCTACTTGCATAGAACAACTCCTATTTAGGCCTACCCTACAAGTAAAACACTTGAACCTGATGAACTGTAATTGGCATGCTGAGCTCTTCACTAGAGCCTATCAAAAGAACAGCTGCAGATGCAGCAGAATCCTTATGGGGATTAATGGACAAGTTTGTTATCACCAGAGGATGTATCGTCTCCAAATACACTTGTTTCCCGATTCTATCCCACATTTCCTGCACAAATGAGCCTTGAAGGATAGAAATCTTCAAGTGTGAAGAACCAACAGACTGTACAAAGAGAACAACCAAGTAAGTGCATAATACATAGTAATGATGATGAGAGATCTAAGTAGAGAAGAATTATAAAAAATAAAGTTCAAATGAAAACTTGCCTGCAGAATCTTCTGGATAGCAGGTATAAGTAGCTTTTTTATTGCTATTGGATCCAGACACCTCAAAAGTTCAGTCAGTATTATGCGACCCCATTCAGCCCCAACATTTGTTAAAGGATTAAGCAATAACTTTAAACAGTTGGGAGCACACATTTCACAAGCAAAGGGTCCCATTGCTTTAAAGGCTCCACGTTTTGTGAAAGTTGCTGCATAACATAGACGTGATTCATCTGTTGCTAGAAGTTGTAGGGGTGCAAGAAACGTGTATGATGCCCTGATAGTTGGGGGGAAATATGGAGATTCCAAAAGACATTTTGCAGAAGGCCTCCTGTTTGTGTGAAGAGATAGGCATTCATTCAGACTTTACAAGACCTTTATACACATATTTAAGCTTTTGCAACAACAAAACCTCCCTTCTTATTGGGGTCAGGAGGGGTCAAGATGTACACAACCTTAACAAAGAGGCTATTTCAGTTAGGACATTGATGTATTGTTGCAATTATTACCCAAAACTTCAAAGAAAGTAAGGACCAAAGGATGCACGTGTTAAGCTTTTGGAAAATAGAATAAAAGTAGAAAATATACCTTCTCCAATCTTTTTGAATACAGGCTTCAATGAACACCCGAGTTTCGGGTGGGAGTTCCTGCATCAGTATAGGAAAGCAACCACTCTCTAAATACACACCCAATGAGGTTGGATCAAAGAGTGGTCTTCTCAGGTGCAATTCTGCTAAAATGCATCCCGCTGCAAATATGTCATCTGAAGCATCCTTGGTAGTACTTGAACAAGTTTTTTGTTTCCATAGCAGTAGCTCTTGGTATCCTACTGATGTGTCATCACCAACTTCAATAATCTTGAGAAGGTAATTCAAATCGATAAAAGGAGGCATGATAGAGTTGCCATTAAATCCATTTGGCATGGACTCCATGTATGCCGGACCCTCAATTGATTGTGTCGTTACTGAGCAGTCAAGTTCTATAGCATCATTTAAATGTGGGTAATAGAGGGGGCTTAATACCCTTGAATGCTCACAGAATGAAGCAGTTTCCTCCAGTTCTTGCAAAACTGAAGCTTCCACTGCCACATCACTTACAAGCTTCTCGCGCATAGTTGAACAATTCACCAGGTCACAATTTCCTACAGTATCAACAAGACGGTGCGGATGTGGTCGAGTGAAAAGCTGACGGCGCCCCATTGACCTCAGTGTTGTGTGAGATGATGTAGGCAACATCACATTTTTAGCAGCAACAGAAGCTTGGCCAGACATTTTGTAGCCAAAGGTGATATCAATCCAATTATGAATTTGGTGCGAAACTCGGTTACTTTCTAAAGCACTCCTATGTAACTCAATAAAACTCTCAGGTGTACCTGCCCATGAAGGTACTGCCAAATCAGACATGCCAGGGTGAATGGAATAAAATATTTGTGGATCACAGTAAAATTCTGGAATGCACTCGTCAGGTGTCCATTGAAAAAGTCTTTGCATGTTTGAAGGATACTCATTTGGTTCATAAACCGAACGAACAGCCATTCGCAGGACACTCAAAGGTAATCTTCTTGCCTTATAACTGCAGACAGCTAGTTCAGACAAGCACTCGTCTGAAACATGATGTGGGATTTCTGATGTAGAATATGTGAAGTCCAACTGTTCATCACCTTTTGCCAGCCGCCACTTACTCTTGCTCAAATCTCGCCACCCGGCCTCATTATTCTCATCGGGTTTTACACTAAAATCAACTACCCACGGCATGACCGTATAAAATGAATGATCACCCCATCTTCTCCCAGCTAATCTGTTCAAGATTAGGAGATACTCAAAGTTGCTTAATTCACCTTTCCACCATCTATAGAAGCATGACTGCCAATCTTTATAGTGGGAAAGCCGCAAATCACTATGAAGTCCATGTGAAAAGCATACATCAAAAGAGCAGTGTGAGAATGATGTGCATGCTTCAGATGTTGAGCTCGAATAAGAAGTTAGAAGAAATTCATCTGCAATTTGCAACCAGCACCATGAAAAGTCAATAAGTGCTAAGCAGGACGGAGAGAGTCTACCATGGGCGACCCCTAAACCATGCATGCTAGACAGTGCAGAAAGTAATTGGTAGATCAAAAATTTTAATTGCCAGTCAGACTTGAAAGCATCTGGGCTGTAATGAATGGCATGTTCCAGAGTATGAGTAGGTTTTGGAAGTACCAAACTAATATGACTCAATGTCTTGAGTAGTCCCAAAACTGGGGAAATGTTGGGATGCCTTATGCAACCAGGAAAGGTATTCTTGCTGAACGAAGGTATCCCAACAAGACTCAAAAAATTCATACAATCACGTCCAGATGATTTACCGTCAATGAGTCGGGTAAGTGAACACAAAATATGATCTTCAATAGACCCGGACAAGAAGTGGGAAACAAGATCTCCAAACAATGTGTATGAATGAATGTCAATGCGAGCAGCTGGGGTCATGGCAGTAAGTGTCCTGAAACATGAAAACCTACCAGAAAGTGTGCAGCCCAGTACACACTCTGATCCATATAGGGATGTATTAACGCAGCCTTTCAGCAAATCCTGACATTCATTTGATGTGTTATTATCTGAGGAACCGGAAACTCCAATTCTGAATTCTGCTTGATCTATATCATCTTTTAGTAGCGTCGCATTGTTGCTGTGATTGTGGTTTATGTTACTGAATTCAAGACCTTCAGAACAATGCTCATCACTTCCAAAAGAAAAAAGTGGTTGAATCAATTTCAAAGTGAATAGATACTTTATAGAATTCTTCATTGTAAGAAAACGGTACTGACTTCTCTTCTTATTTGCTAACTAAGAGCACATGAATCAATCTCATCATGAATTCATGCATTACCAAATTGTCACTTGCAATAGATTCATTAAGAATGTCAAGGAACCAACTCAACTAAAAGCTCAAGGTTGTGGTTTTAGGCCCAATGAAGGTATTTATATATTCTTACACGTGAAACTTAATTTTTTTAATTGGGTAGTGCTGAGCTTTGATCCCGTGACTTCTTAGTCATCAAGGTTCGGATACCGTGTCAAAGAACAACTCAACCAGAAGCTTGGTTGTAGGCCCAAGAAAGGTTTGTATATTATAGCAAAGAATGTAGTTGAACTTCTGGAGAGGCAATAGAAGATTCGTTTCAGTAAAGGGCGTTTCTTTTCTTTTCTTTTCTTTTCTTTTAGCTTAAGGGCAAAATGTTAGAGAAACGTACATGAAATTGGCCAAGCAATCGCCTTTTCTGTACGGCGCATATTGGACTACAAACTCAGGTGATAGTTCTGTGGCAGAACTTGCTAGCTGCGACACGGTAAAATAAGAAATTTAAGCACATAGAACACAGGTTGGGCCTGGAGGAAGTCATCATACTATAGAACAAACAGGTTAAGGGAAACGGAGTACCCGAACGACGGCAGCTGACCCGAATGGAAGATGAGAATCGGAGAGGCCATAGCAAAAGATGATCCGCTCCGACATGTCCTCTTTGATTCGCTGCTCCAAACACTCAAAGCACATTTTTGAGTTTCCCATTATTTCTTCCGTATGTTCGCCGGTCACCGCCAAGGAAATGAGAACATAGCCCCCCCCCCCCCACACACCAAAATATACCGGGTTTGCTTCTCTCCTTTTTTATTTTTGATTAAGGGGAGTGTATTGGCAAATTGTATGGTACATCCAGCTGTATCTTTCTTTAGATACATCCTAATATTTTTGTAAATTTTGCAAACTTTTTATCTAATGTCATGAACATATATGAGAACTATTATATATGACAATTAGTACTAGCAGATTTGAGAAAGAGTACCAGCACTTGTGAGAATTGTCACATTTTTATTCAATACAAATGTGAATAAACCTGAGTTTTAAATTCTCCATGCTCAGAGAGTATAAATGAGTAGGAACGAATCGAATAGAGGAAGAAGTTGACAATGGTACTGAATTTTTTAATTGTGAAAAAATTGAACAATACTTTATTTCAGAATGAACATTTCCTTATTTGAGAATGAGTATTGTTTTTTTAAAGAATGAACACTACGCTATTTATTATAATTATATTAGATAAATGTGTAAAAATGAGTACTTCTTTATTTTAAAATGAGTACTACCTTTGCCAGAATGAGTACTACGTATTTCGAAATGAATGTTTATATTTGTACGAGAATGAGTACTACTTTATTTTAGATTGAGTACTACCGGAATGTACCTATTTCTAGGTATATCCGGATGTACGATATATCAACTCGAGTGTATTCAAATCAGATTTTAAAAGATTATGTTAGAATTTTTAAAATCAATAGATTGTGTAAACTCCATGGAGTATTTTAATTCCATATAAACTTTGACAGATTTTAATGTATTTTATCATTTGGATTTGTTTATATTCTAAAATGTCTATAAATTGTTCTAATTAAAAAAATTGATTACAAAAGAATATTAATGGCCTGCTAATGTTTCGGCCCGAATGAGTTTGAACACATTCATCTTCACAAGTTCCCTTCGGCAATTAAAGATTCATTTTCAGATCTCAACTGGAAGCAAAGGAGACGATGATGAAGAAGAAGACATCAGAGGTTGAAGGAGAGACGGACGGTCGGACTTCGGAGGAACGATGAAGGACGGAAGGAGTTTTTATAATCTTGGACTTTTGGATGAGATTTGAGAATGATTTTATATTTATACCTAATGCTACAAAATCCACCTTTTTAAAAATCTTTAAAAAGTCATCAACTTTTAGAATACCATCATATTTAGAAGGATTTTTTAAAATTTCAATTGAATACACCCAGATTTTAAATGATTTTTTTAAATCTGAATTGAATAACTACAGATTTTCAAAATCCCAAAAAAATCCATCAGAATCTGGATTGAATACACCCTCCTAAATTGACGGAAGGGTTGTACATTTTTAAAGAACAATATGCATTTAAGTTTAAAAATGTTAAAATCAAGCGTTATTATTTTTGGCAAATTCTATGGTGCACCTAATGTCCATCCTAGATCTATATATGAGTAAAATAAACATTTTCTTTCTATTTGAATGAACATATGTTTTTAATAACAAAATTTTAAAAAAAAATTATGTAAGAAGGTCTATAAAAAATGGTATGCACTAAAGGTGCACCATAGAAGCACTCATTATTAGATACTCTCTCCGGTCTTAAAAATATTTTATGTTTTAATTTTTTTGGTCAAATAGTGATATTTTTTAACCACAAATTAAATATAATCTAAATAAATAAAAATTCAATTTATCAAATCTATATCCTAAGATGATCATAATCATATTGAATTTTTAGTATAATTATATATACATTTCTCATAATTTGTAATCAAAGAGTGTCAATGTTTGGTCAAAAAAGTCAAAAGAGGACCATTTTTTAGACAGGAGAGAGTAATATTCTATTCATTTCAATCTTTCTTCTTCTTTTGTTAATGTTGTAAATTTAATATCAATATATTCAATATAAAAAATAAATCGTCATTAACATTTTTCGAGAGATTTTACCAATATACGGTCAACATTTTATATTCCATCATAGAATACTCGATTCATATCTCCCAATAATTTTTCAATAGTTATAAAAATGACGATATTCTTAGTCCATGGTCTATATTGGAAATCACAATTACAACAGAGATTATGTACGATAATTTGTTTGAAAAAATAACGATTCGTACCCCTTAACTCTCTGATAAATTCCATCGCGGCCCAAATCAACCCCACCTCAACCCCAACCTCTTCAATTGCATCCCAAAAGTAATTGACTTCAGGGTGCGGTCAAATTTTTATAATTTATATAGTTTTTTCAATATATTCCATCCGTTCTTTTTTAACTATCTAGTTCGTTTTTAAACTAATTGTTAATCAACAATATCTCTTAAATTATATTAGAAACAAGTACAAAAGGAACACATTAAAAGTATGTTTTGAATTTGAAACTAGTATTTTGTTATACATTTTTATATTTCAATTCATTGTATACATCGATATATAATTAACCAAATGTTTGGCAAAACAAATCTCAAAATTAAGGAGTACAGTACATTTTATTTTTTCAGCTCACTACTTATTTTATTAAAATTAGACTAGATCAAATCTTATCATATTGGATCAGATTCAATCAGATCAGATCAGAAACATCATTAAATATAATTACAATTCCTTAACTGATCAATCGGAACAAGATAAGTGAATTATGAATATACAGTTTATTATTCAATCAAAAATTGGTCGACTGATCGATAGATATGATATGATTCAAGAAGAATAATAATTAATACTTCCCCCATTTTTAAAAAAATTCATAGTTATTATTTACAAATCAAAGTAATTTTACTTTTTGTGTATATTTTCATTGATTATTTGATAAATAAGATACTCCGTAGTTATTTCACCACTTATTCTGTAAAACTTTTGATTTAGTTTTTTTCGTAATAAATCATTTTTAGTTTTTATTCTACAATATTCTGTAATGTTTATGTATATTGTTTTGAAAATAATTTAATCAAACATGGTAAATCAAACGAAAGGAGTAATACTCCATCCGTCCATAAATAAACATCCTGATTTGACAGAGCACATAGTTTTAAAAGAGATGAAATTAGGATTGACTTTCTTAAAATGCCTCGTTACTGTTTCTCATTTACTAATGCACCAGGTATCCCTCTATCAAGAACGAACAACAACACCATGGCTAGGTGTGCACTCAAGAACAACACTGAGGGCACTGGAAATACCCATGAAGCCTCGAGGCTTCAAACCGGGGCTTCAAACATTCTCTTTGCCACGTTAGCTTTAACTTACCTCATAATTTCAGTGGAAATGGGTTTGAAGCTCCGGGGCTTCATACCTTCATTTTTTACATTTTAAATACACATCTTCTAAAATTAAATTAATTAATTTTAAATATTTAATTATTTAAAAAAATTTAAACGAGAATAGTCCATTAAAAAAATTGTATTCATTATAAAAAACTACATTCATTAAATAAAAAAATTGTATTCATTATAAAAAACTACATTCATTAAATAAAAAAATTGTATTCATTATTGGCACCATTTTCAAAATATTTGAATAATATTTTTGTCATAAGAGGTATTGGTATAACAACATCAAAACCATGAGAGGCAATGACATAATTAAGTTTGAATGAATAAATTAAAGGGTTGTAGAGATACCAAAACATAGGAGGTAGGTGCAATAAACTCTTAATTACTCCACCGAATGAATGAATAAATTAAAGGGTTGTAGTTAATTAAAAAATACGGAGTACATAGTATTAGACCTGGCAATCGGGTCAATCGGTTCGGTTCCGGTTCGGGTCTCTTTCGGATATATGTTATAATCAGTTCGGATCGGTTCGGTTCGGGTCAGTTCGGTTCCGGGTTTATTTCGGTTTGATTGGTTTTCGGTTTCGGTTCGGTTTCGGTTCGGTTTCGGTTCGGGTTTGTATCGGTTCGGGTTATATCGATTCAGGTTTTTATCAATTCGGGTTGTACTGATTTGGGTTTATATAGATTTGAGTTTATATCGGTTTAAATTTATATTAGTTCAAGTATAATGTAAACACATACATACTAATAAATGAATAAATCACATAATAAATTTAGTTAATTTAGTTAACTATAATTTTTATATACTTTCTATAAAAATACAAAAGCATTTTAACTAATTAAGTTATAAAATGCAAAGTAAAAGATTTGTACATGAAAGTAGTTACATGGTTTGCACCCATAATTTAAATATGTTTTTTTAGAAACACATCAACATATGTAAAAATATATAGGTAATTCGTTTTCTCCAAATTCATTTGATAAATGAAATATTAATGAATTTGATCAATTTCGGGTCTAATCGGGTTCGGGTCTAATCGGTTCCGGGTTTAACCGGGTTTGGGTTTAACCGGGTTCGGGTTTAATCGGTTCGGGTTTAATCGGATTCGGGTCTAAATCGGGTCTGAATACATTCGGTTCGGGTTCTGTTCGGATCATTTCGGGTGTTCGGTTCTATTTCGGTTCTTCAATTTTCGGGTCAAATCGGGTTCGGTTCCGGGTTATTCAGTTCGATTTATCGGGTCCGGTCAGTTTTGCCAGGTCTACATAGTATTATAGAGAGACTATGAGTAAATTTCATAAAAAGGTCACCAGTTATAGGTTGTTTTACATATTTAATCTCTACATATCAAATATTACTAATTTAGTTTACAATTATTATATCATTTTTCACGAATAGTCATTTGTTAACGTTTTTGTTGAGAACATGGATAAAATTGTATATTCATACTTCTCTCTCTCCTCAATTAAGTTTCTCCATCCTCTCGTACTCTTTTCCAAACTCGTTGCTGAAGCTCTAAACCCAAAACAGAAATGATTAGGGGTGGGCACGGATCGGGACGGTCCGGATTTTAGGTTGTCCCGCGTCTAGTCCCGTTATATATAAACAGTCCGGAACGGTTCGAATTACAAAATTCGGGATCGGAACAAAACGGGACTCACGGATTCGGGTCGTCCTACTTTGTCCTAATCGCAAATATAAGAAGAGGGAGAGGGTGACATTTCATTCAAAAAAAGAGAAACATCTAGCTATCCAACAAAAAACAATGAATGAAACGGGACCAAATAAATTTAATAAACTTTGAGCTAAAATCTCAAGCCTATGAAGTTAACTTAATTAATTAATTCATTAAAGAATGAATGTCTTCGGATTTTGGACTAAAATTAGTATTATATATTAGTAGAGTAGATGAAACGGGACAAACAGGACGGATTGGTATAAATTTAAGTTGTCCCGCTCATGTTCCATTTAATAGTGGGACGGAACGGGTTCGGGATAAAAAAAGTGTGTCCCAATTATTCAGAACAATTACAAAAGTGAAATTTACCCAATGGGGCACCAAATCATAGTTGTTTTACCTAAATAACACCACTACTAATCTTTTCTCTCACTAGCACTAATTTTCATTTGTACTACCTAGCCTACCCTTCCGTAACCTAAGCCCACTAAAAATCATTCCTTCTAATTTTTACTTATTTTTGGAAAACAAATCCTTAATTATCCCTAATTTTCAGGAATCTTTAAACTGTCTAAACCGTATCGAATTATGTGCTTGACTCACTGACCCTGACTTTGGCATACCCACACACTGTCCCCAACACACATCTCACACACTGTCCATCAGGGGGGACTGTGATTACTCTTGAATTTTATATTAATGTACACACTGCCCTTTACTTTGCTCATGCATACACACTGCCTTAGGTCCATTAACTCACACACTGTCCACATGTTTCATGGGGCCTGTTATTACTCACAATGGAGGATCTGCGGTTGTACAGATCTACAAAAATAAGAGTGAATGTTATTAGTCTTTTCCTCACCCCTGCATCAATAAAACATGTGGCTTCCTAACACTAGTGCCATTAAAAGAAAGGGGCATTGTTTTAGTGTTACAAAATGGATCCAGGATTTTTTGGAATGGTCTAACAGAAACAGATTTCACGCCCACACCTAGAAATGATCATTCCTTTTTCAATTATTAATCTTTCGGGTGGAACCTAAAATCAAAACCAATAAGCTTTATGGATGACTTTTTTTGGTTAATCTCAAGAAATTGCAAACAAAATAAACATTAAACCTCATCCATGAAAGTTACTGGTTTCGAATTTGGATTCCACTAGTTAGAAAACATTTGAGAGAAGAGTGATGATTTCTCTTTTGGGTTCAAATCTTCAAACTCAGCGACAGGATGAGGAAAGGAGTACGAGTGGAAGGAGGAAGCTTAATTAAGGAGAGAAAGAAGTGTGAATTTACAATTTTATTCACGTTTTTAACGAAAATTTAATATAGGTCCATTTGTGGAAATGAATATAATAATTGTGGACTAAATTAGTAATATTTGATATATGAGGACTAAATATGTAAAACCCTATAACTGTGGATCTTTTATGGAATTTACTCAGAGACTATTATTATTACCCCGAATTATTATTATTATTATTATTATTATTATTATTATCATCATCATCATCATCAAGGAGTATATCGATCATATGGAGACATGGAGTAATAAACAAGAAAAATGCTAGGGGTATACCAAAGGTGTACCTCATTTGTCCCCCACCCTCTCCTCCACCACATAAATGGGCAAGAAATTTAAAAAAAAATTAAATAAATAAAAAGTAGATAAAAATGGATGGTGGAAAAAGAGATAAGGGACAAATGGATTACAGGTAACATTGCTCAATGAACAATTAGGGAGTAATTAATTACCGCACACTAGTCTCGACACTGTGGTGTAATTGGTAGTAGTCAAAGAGGAGGAGGAGGTGATGCAGGAAGGAGCACGTGTGACGACGTCAAAGCCGCAGGTACCCCCGGTGCGGATGCAGCAATCGCACCCCACCCCGTCTGGCGGTAGGGCAAAAGACAGCTTGATCCCATAAGCCCAAAGCATCGGCGGCGTCCGCCCTGTGGGGCTGCCGCCGCCATTCCTCAACATGTCATCGGTGGCGTAGAAGCTGGTATAATGCGTGCAGTCAAGCATGTCCATTTGCATGTAGGCGAGGGTGGAGTAGGTGGTGAAGCAGCAGGGAGGGGTAGTAGTACTGGCGTTGCCGCCGCCCGGCAGCCTTATTAAGAAGTTCCTGAAGGCGTCGCAGGCCCCGTAGAGGTCGTTGCAGGTCCCGCCGCCAAAGGTGGAGGGCAAATTCGGGAAACAGAAACTGCTTTTGCTGTGGAGAAGAGGGGAGTCGAGGGAGCAGTTAAGGATGGCCACGACGGTGTCGTAGGAGGGGGCGATGAGGTCGGAGTTGATCAGGAGGAAGGCGGTGTTGTTGTTGTTGTTGTTGTTGGTGTGCTGTTGTGGTTGTTGTTGGTTTGTATTAGGATTGAGGCAGGTGGGGATGGAAGTGTCTTGGATGGTCATCACTCTGTGCTCGTAGTCTATCCCCTGCACCTTGTAGCCGCTGCCCCCGGATAAGAGGAAGAGGCCGCGGCCGGCGGTGGTGTTGCGGCAGTCTAGCATGCCTGCGTACTGCCGAATGGATATTTTATTTTGATGGCGGCGTCACCACTGCTGCCGTCACCTCCGCATGAATCGCGGCACGGAGTTGCAGCAGCCGCACCCACTACCGTTGTTGTTATTATTAGTATTGTTATCAGCATCATCGATAATAACAACAACACCGTTATTATGATTCAAAAATAGGTGGTGGCCGGTGTGATGAGGAGGATGAGTGATGCCGCTGTTTCAACATTTAAAAATGGGATGATCGATGATGCATGATGAGCTATTTATAGTACTCTACGCAGGTATATGCAGCAAGCAAGCAAGTATTTGGATGGAGCTGCAGGCCTGGATTTCAACCAAATACCTTTAGGCATATATGATGCTTAGCTAGCTAGCTACCTCTTGGCCCAAAGCAAATAAAGCTACTCCCTATCTAATTTATTGGCTTTTGACCATTATACCACCACCTTGGCATGCATTGGCCGGTGCACTAACTGTATAGCTGGGTTGTTTGAAATTACTACGGATCGGAGTATAATTACTACTCGCTTTATTTACTTTCCCCATCCGCACAAGTTAAAAAACACTCTTTCTCAAATGCCTTCCAGCTGCCCAATATAATAATGCCTCCCAATCTGCCATAGTCCATCATTCCTCATTCTTTTCAGTCGAGTCCACCAAACTTTTATGAGATAAAACCAATTCAAACACATTTACATAATTACTACCTCGGGCTTATATGTTCATTTTTGGTTAATTTATTTTAAAAAAGTCAAAAATGAAACTTCTTTTGGGGACGAACAGAGATAGTAATATCTAGTGTTTTTTTGTGAATTTATTTTAAAAATCTAGTATTTTTGTTAACTTTAAATTTATTTCATCCAGAAAGCAAATGATTTAGGGTCAATTTGGTAAGTAAAAGAGAGATGAGTTTTCATATCTTTTGATGTAGAGCTGTGCAAATAAGAATCTGGGCCGAATCTGGGCCGGGCTGGATACAAATTATTAGTCCATTTACATGAGCGGGTCTAGCTCGTCCCGAATTTGATGGGCTAAACTCTTTACCCATACCCGCCCACCTTAGCGGGCCTAACTACCCACCGGGCCGCCCGGCCCGGATAAAACACCAAGAAAACTTTTTTTGCACAAAAAAAACATTGAACTCTTTTTTCAATGTTTAAAATAAAATCACCACTCACCAAATTTACAAAGAAAGCATAACAGAGGTATTGTTGCATAATTAATAAACCCATCATACTAATTCATTAAAAGATTTCCATCATCTCCGATGGAGCCAAAATTTCACCAATTTTTGGCTTTGGGGTGTGATGGAATAAATCAAAATGGATCTCTAAATTATCCGCGCTTCTTTAATTAATGAAGTAGCAGTTAGTCAAGCAATGCAACTTTCGACGTTGAGCCGGGGGTCTCTTTGGAAACAGCCTCTCTACTTTCGAGTAGGGGCAAGGTCTGCGTACACACACCCTCCACAGACCCTACTCTTGTGGGATTTAACTAAGTTGTTGTTGTTGTTGTACTAATTCATTAAAAGAATATTGATTTTTGTTTAAGAGGGGTGAGTGAATTGAACCATTATACATGAACTATAACAATTTTTCAAAATTATATTGCCCAGATAATTAATAATAAAGTGAATATTTTTGATGGATATGGGCGGCCTGTTGGCCCGGATGGGCTAAAAGTAACTTCCAGATCCGTCCAGATACAATTCGGGCTCGGGCCGGGCCGCCCATGTGGGTATTAAAGGTTGTCCATATCCGCCCTTTTTAAAGGGCGGACTGGGCGGGCCAAACGGGCCGACCCTTGCTTGCACATGTCTATTTTGATGCCACTATCAACCACCTTTGTTGCTGGCCACATATGTCTATCACTAATTAAATTAGTTCCTCCGTCCCAAATTATAATGTCTGTTTACTATTCACAACCTTATTTACTTTCTTTCTCTATTTTCGTTAGCAATTTGATAAAATAAAATATTATTGTCACTACTAGTTTTGTAGATCTTTTGATGTAGTTTTTTAATATGTAATTTTTATTTTTTAATTCTATACCATTTGTCATATAAAATGGTTTGAAAATAATTTCAGTCAAACATTGTAAACCGAAACAGGCGTTATAAATTGAGACGGAGGTAGTATGATTTTAAATCTCTCTAATAACTCCATTTCATATTTCAAAACTCATATTACTTCTCACAAATTTGAAATTTTAAAACCCATATTATATCATCCCCCTTCCAAAAATCATCACCAAAGGGACTCTTAGTATATTGTTGGAATGAAAATAAGGAGTATGAATTACGGAATGCAATACTCTAATGTGAACTTACATATAGATCTTTGTGCGTCATTCGAATGTAGTCGTCGGTGGTAATTGTGGGTGTGGTTATGAATCTTCTCACAAAGATGATTAATAAAACGAATACATACATATCCTTATAAAAATAGGTATCCTTGGTTCACTTTCTAAAGATGCATTCTTATTAAAGCTAAGGGGCTGTTTGTTTCAGCCTCTTAATGGTTCAGATGTCTGAATGATTCAGCACTTAATGGTTCAGACTGTTTGTTTCAGCCTCTTAATGGTTCAGATGTCTGAATGGTTAAGAGATTTGCCTCTGAATGGTTAAGTATTATACAGAGTCTGAATGGTTAAGAGCTCTTATCTGAATTGATTAGACATTTGCCTCTGAATAGTTAAACAATATACTAGCTCTTAATGGTTCAGACCTCTTACTGGTTCAGCACTTAATGGTTCAGACCTCTTACTGGTTCAGCACTTACCCATTCAGAAGTTACCAAACAGCCCCTAAGACTGGTAAATATAAATGATGTTAATGTTAGAACTACCTTACAATTCACTAGAACGTATGGGGCTAATGCTAACCAAGTACGTAATATTTGTATCATAAGCCAAGGAGATCAATCATTCTCCGAAACGAGATCGGATGAGGGAGGGGCTCATTATAGCCAAAGTGAAGATATCCATCAGCCGGTAGCCTACTCCCATCCATATATCATTCATTAGTAACATTAATCAATCTGATTTTGCGTGCTTGCTGGATTTCATGCTCTGTCCCTATCCTTTCATCACATCTGCTTCACAGATAATCTCTCTGATACAATTTTTATTTGTATTATTATTGCTATTTCAAATAATTCCTCACCCCCCCCCCAAAGAATTAATTGTCTGCTTTTAATTTTTAATTATAGAGAGTTATGATTTGGTAAATAGGCATATCAAATCAACTATAATAACGATCAACATATACGGAGTATATCAGATAGAGTAGTTAACTTACTAATGAGCTCGTAAGTTACAATCATTGTGACTCCATAGAAAGACATATTGAGGAATCTTGGTCCAAAGCCTCTGTAGAATCCTCTCCATCCCTCTTCTCTGAGGAGTATCTTTGCTGTCCTCATTACAGAAGGCCGCCGATGTCTTCCAAAGCCCCCACCCTCACCATCATCCATAACCTATACGCCACTACTCTTTGTTAATATTCAGTTACTGTATACATAGAAAACCGTAGCTATGTGTATATATATTGATCCAAAACTCTAACCTTACCTCTATCATGTTTCATTTATATGGCATAACACAAATAAGTGGTCAGCACATAGTACATACTTACACACCTGAAGGCGAGTTTTGACGGTGTCTACAGGGGTTGTGATAACCGAAGAACAAGCACCAGCTAACATTCCAGCAGTAGCTTGGACTGTGACCATCTGCATATCAGATGGTTTCTTTACCATTTCATCATCACAATAACCCTGCACACTCCTTAATTAAAATTAAGGAATAATAATTATATGTTTTTGTAAAATAGTGACAACCTCCATCAATATCTTACACCAAACAGTCTTCTACATGTGTATATAGTGTAGCAAGTTGATCAAAGAATAAGGTGGCTGCACACACATATACCTCCAAATGAGATGTTGTGATGCAGCATAAGCACCCCACCACAGTGCAGAAGCAGGAGACTGATACACTGCTGTTAATCCAAAACCTCTGTACATTCCCCGCACACCTTCGTCCTTCATTACTTTACGTATGACATCAAATGTCCCATTACAAAGTTTAGTCCCAGGAAGCCCTTGAACCATCAGTCTTTGGCAAATCTATTGTAATACACATTATAATGGGAATTTTGTATTTTCACCATGTCACTTTCATAGTACTCACGTATCCAGAAATTCATTTCAAAATTTACTTTACGCTATGCTTGGTTCAAGAAATTTGAAAGGAAAAAGAAAAGAAAATGATACCGAATTTTTTTTTCTTGTCTAGTTAGCGGTTAGAGAGGAAAAGCAAATAAAAGTAGAAGGAAAAGAGAATGAGAAGACAAAATGAACTAAGAGGAAAACAAAATTCCTCTGATGAGTAGGGAGGAGCGTTGGGTTGGGTATAGCACGTGACTCACCACATCGAGAGGCACAAAGTATACACATGAAATTAGGTTGGACACCATGCCAGCAACTGCATTTGACATGCCAACACGAGTTGCTTCCGGCATATCTAGACCTTGTGTGTGTTTGAGCATCATGTCTTTTGATACCTCAAGTGAGGTCAACGCCAGCACTCGGCCAGGCAACGACCCAATTGCCGATGTGCCAAAGCCTCTGAATATGCCACGGACACCATCATTCCTAAGAATATGTTTGAAGACAGACAGTCCTGTCGTACGCGATGAGAACACTCCAGCAGAGTCAGCCACTTGCATCCTTGTCTTAACAACCGCTGTTGGATGTATCAGAGCTGACTGAGCGGTGAACAGAATAGCTCCCGTGATGTGAAAACTTCCTTTGTCTAGCCTGATACATGTTTGAGGCATCACGATATTCAGAACCTTTTTAAAAAATTTTTTATATACAGAATGCAGATATATAAAGGATCACATATACTTGTTCAATAGTGCAACCAGATACTAAATAGCAAATTCGCATTGAGTCAAAATTAAAAAAGTTAAGGACATTGGCGGAGTATACTGATTAAGAGCCCTTTTCTTTAATGGGTGCCACCCATGAAATCGGTATAAACGGGCAAATATTTTTTCCTAATCTGTAGTATTGAGTTTACTGGGGTCCTCCGGTAATACATTCGCTAAAGAAGTTAGTTTATGACACGTGAATCTATAGTATTGAGTACTGGAGGGCGGCATAGCAGTGGCTTTGAAGGTATGATCGAATACAGATGTTATGTTGGTAAACGGAAATCAAAACCCCAATTGTAAACACGCTAAACCCTAGAATAGAATAAAAATGATGATGATGATGTTACATACCTGTCCCAACAGATATCGGTGTCCGATAGAGCTAACTCCGGTGAGGTGGCGGCGTCCCTTTCCATAGTGATGAAGACGATGGAGATGAATGAAGGAGCGTATAGAAACTAGAAAGTTTCCCGGTTTTCCCTATTCATGATATTTTGCTATCAATAGAAAGTTTCCAATTTTTTTTGTTTTGTTGAATATTACTTTCTCCGTCCCAAATTATAATGTCTGTTTATTATTCGCAAGGTTAAACTTTATTTACTTTCTTTCTCTATTTTCATTAGCAATTTGATAAAATAAAATATTATTGTTACTACTAGTTTTGTAGATCTTTTGATATAGTTTTTTAATATGTAATTTTTATTTTTTAATTATATACCATTTGTCATATAAAATGGTTTGAAAATAATTTCAGTCAAACATCGTAAACCGAAACAGGCGTTATAAATTGGTACGGATGTAGTACACCCGATGTGATTTTTTAAAATTATTAAGACTATGTTTTCCTTTGGTTTGAAATTTCTGAACTAGATGCTGAAAAAATTGAAATAAGTTGAAAGAAATTAGAAAGAATTAAAAAAATAATCAAAGAATTACATTGTTAAAGAGTTACTCAATTAAATAATCATCCTAATATATATGTAAAAAATTCTAATTTATGATATAAAATTTTTTATTATTGTCCGTGTTTGATATAATACGGAGTATGTTATACATTTGAATATATAATATTATATTCTATTGATCATATACAAATACCATTTAAAGTCATTATTGAAAGAAACTACAAGGAATTGGAAGTAGTTGGAATTAGTTAAAAACGTTGGAAATTATTTTTTTCAGCCCAAAAGAAAAAGACATTCCTAAAAGAGTTGTGCTTAGGCATGTCAATAAGTTGAGTTCGCGTTAGTCCATAGTTGAATCCTGACCCATATCTGTTTACCCGATGAGTCTTGAAGTTTAATCCTAAATTTGAATAAAATAGATCTCAGTATTAGGTCTGATATACCCGTGATAAAAATTGACGTCTTTTAGTTTTCTATTATTTAAAAAATTAGTGAAAATATTGTGAACGAAAATATCTTAATTGAATACAAATTAAAAAACCAATACCTTACTACAAACAAAACTATCTTCTTTACCAAAGCCTGCAACAATTACACTCATAATTAATTAGCTTTTTATTTCTATAATTTTTAAAAAATTTAAAAGAAGTGTATTTTGATATTGAATTTCCAAAAATGTCCTTGGATATGATGTGTAACGCCCCGAAACATACCCTAGAATTATTATTAAATAATTATTCGATTAAACAAATTTGTTTTTGATTAAAATAAATTGTTGTTGGGCTTTGGGCCGATACGAAATATGTTTTGATATCTATTATCACACTTTGGATAAATCTCATAGAGAAAAATCCAATATATTGACTTTTTGTGTGGTCTTGATTGGAGACCTGAGTACAGACCCAAATTAAGAATAAATGAAGAAATTGTTTATAATGTGAACTTTGAAATGATATTTTGAAATAAATCATAGAAATAAATAATATGAATTAAATGTGAGAACCTTTTTGAATAGAAGTCAATTAAATCAATTTTGACTCTGTCAAAGTCAACCACCCAAAAATATGATGTCGGAAAAAGTGTTACAAATAAATATAAAAATTATATTTATGGATAGAGTTTAACTGTCTGACCGCAACGGTGCAAACGGAATTCAATTCGGAGAAAGTTGGATCAAAAAGCAAACCCTGACTGGAACCAAATTGGTCCCAATCAGGGGACGGCGTGTAGATCAATTAGAATCGCCGTCCTGCGCACTAAGGAATTTCTACGTAGAAATGAGTCAGCTACCAATGTCTTCTTCCCCTTCTCTTCTTCTATATAAGGATACTACATCCTTATCAATTTGGCACCAATGTTCTGGAAAATTATACCATTGTGTTCATAAGAGTGAAGGGAGCAGTCTGGTGTTGTTGGTTGCCGCCGAAGTCGCCAGAGTGGGGAGTAATCATCGCCAGAAGTGTCGCTGGAAAATTTCCAAAACCTCTGTTAAGCTTCGAGGTAAGCCCGTAGATATATCTAGTGACTAGAATGTTCGTATAGATCGTTTCTACGTTCATAAACGGTCGTTTGGTTGAGTTTTGTGTTTGACATGTTTGAAGAACCAAGAATCATAAACCATGAAATTGTTGTTAAAATTAAGAATTAATGACTCTAAAATGATCTGTGAACATTGGAGAACATTTTTAGATAATTAAATTGAAGTTTGGTGATTAAAAATGATAATGTTAAAACTGACCCGAGGAAGAAGATGATGAACAGTGGCCGAAAATCGATTATTTACTTACTAAAAATCGAGTATAATTTTATCCAGATAAGTGGTTCGAAGTCAGTACCATTTAATCGATTATTTATATTGTAAAAATCGATTATTATGAATTAATTGATTATTTAAATTGTAAAAATCGATTATTATGAATTAATTGATTATTTAAATTGTAAAAATCGATTATTATGAATTAATGGATTATTTAAATTGTAAAAATCGATTTTTTATGAATTAATCGATTATTTATATTGTAAAAATCGATTAAAATTAATTAATTGATTATTTAAATTGTAAAAATCGATTAT